GCCAAGGATCGCGAGGCTGACCGTATCTGGATCGTCAACGTTGGTGACATCAAGCCCGCCGAGATCGCCATCAGCCATTGGTTCGACATTGCCTACGACATGGACTCTTACAACCACGACTCAGTGCCTGAGTGGCTCGCTGGATTCGCCGCCCGTAACTTCGGTGAAGAGCATGCTGAGGAGATCGCCGAGATTATGGACGAGTACGGTTTCCTCGCCAACATGCGCAAGTTCGAATGGGTCGAGCCCTCTTCCTTCAGCGTTCTCAACTACGAGGAGGCTGACCGCATCCTCGCTCACTGGGAGTCACTCGCCGAACGCGCCAACAAGGTTAACGCAGCGCTTTCTCCTGAACAGCAGCCCGCATTCTACGAGATTATCCTGCACCGTGTCCTTGCTGGAGGAAACCACGTTGATGTCCAAGTTTCGGGTGCGAGGAACATCATCTACGCGCAGATGGGCCGCAACAGCGCCAACAGGTGGATGCAGCGTGTGATTGATGGCATGAACAAGGATCACAACCTCACCCGCCTCTACCACACTCAGCTCAACGGCAAGTGGGACCACATGATGGACCAGACCCATCTTGGTTACCAAGGATACTGGTAAGTTCTGAATGATCTAGCGATGGAAGTCATGATGCTAACCTAATCGCAGGCAACAACCTATGCGCCAGTCCACCCCCGATCTCCGCTGGGTACAGACTCAAGAACGATCCCTAGCCGGCGACATGGGCATCTCCGTCGAAGGCTCGAATGCCACCATTCCCGGTGATGACATGTGGCACAGTAACGGCGGGGGTTCACTCACCCTGCCGGCCATGACACCCTTCACTCCCAAGCGCTGGATCGAGATCTCACACCGCGGCACCGGCGCCTTCAACTGGAACATCAGCGCCGACCCCTTTGTCACTCTCTCCGAAGCCAAGGGAACCATGCAGCCCAACGACGAAGACATCCGCATCTACGTCGATGTAGACTGGACCAAGGTCGAAGACGGCTTCGGCGCCCAAAGCAAGCTCAACTTCTCCAGCTCCACCGACTTCGGCACGCAGGGTGGAAACCCACAAGTCATGTTCATGGTAAACAAGACGTCCATCCCCTCCGACTTCAACGCCGGCTTCGTCGAATCCGCGGGCCAACTCGCTTTCGAAGCAGAGCACTACACGCGCTCCACCCCTGGTTCCTCCGACAACGAATACATGGTCCTCCCCAAATACGGCCGTACCATGTCTGGCGTCAAGCTCGCGAACAACCTAGCCGAGGGCCTTGACTCCTCCAGCGCACCAAGTCTGGAATACGACTTCGTCACCTTCACACCCACCACCAAGGCCAAGGGCCTCAACGTCACCCTCATCCTCACACCCACCCACAACATCAACCCCAAAGTGCCCCTCGCGTACATCGCCCAGATCGACAACAAAACCGAAGCCCGCCGCCAGTTTGTCATCGATCAGCCGCAGCCCAACTTCCCTGTCGGATGGGGTGTTGCGGTCGCTGACAGCGCGTGGAAGAACACGACTAACCATGGTGAACTTGCACCTGGTAAGCATACTCTCAAGCTGTGGCTTGTAGAGGCGAATGTTATTCTGCAGAAGGTTGTCCTGGATCTGGGTGGTGTTGTTTACAGTCATAATGGGCCGCCGGAGAGTTATCACGTTGGCGGGAATGCGACTATGCACTAGATAGTGGTGCTAGAGGGGATGAAAAGGATAATATGTGAGATGGATTCAGTGTTGTAATGTGTTCATTCGCAATGAGTTGTCGAAACATTTGTGTGTGTGTGTGTGAGGTTGTACGAAATGCGATAACAACGGACCGATGCGGTAAGATTAGCTGAGTTGTCGCCATGCCATGGCGGACCGATTCTTGTACGAATGGGGGAAACGCAGCTCGAAGAAGACACAGTATACCTTATATATTGATGGAGAAGTGAATATTCTCATGCCCATGCATCGCTATGCTACACCCCGAAGAAAGACAATCCTGAACGCCAACACAATATGCCGCCACCTATCTTGTATCCAAATTCTCAATCTGCCTCTATACCCTCCAAGTCTCCCATGCACGTTCTTCCCCCTTCCCTAAGCAACACCACCAGCCCCTCCCCCCGCACCCCCAGCACTCCCTCCCACATCACTTGTAGCACCCCCTTTCCCCGCTTTCCTCCGCATGCTCTTACTGCGGTGTGAATAGTAATTGCTCGGTTCCTTCATCTGCTCCTTGTCGAGGCGCTCTTGGCTGGGTTGCAGTTTGCCGTCTGTGGCGCGTTCTTTGACTTTGCTGACTTTGGAGCCCATTGTAGAGGTTGTGTTGGGAGCGTTGGGGTTGATGGAAATTGGTGTGGATGTTGAGGTAGTGGTGGGTGTGGTTTGCGCGTACGGTGGAGAGGTCGTAGAGGGAGAAGAGTGGGTTTGGTCGGATAGGATGATTACACTGGTATCTCGTCAGTTCAATTCCAGCAATAAGTCGCGTGTGCGCATTCGCGCAAGGCTGTCTTCTCAATCCACTTACGGCGGTGCAGGATGAGGTTCCGGTTCCGGTTTACTTGGAGGTCTCGATGTCGCGTCGGTAGATTGAGATTCTTGAAGTGGGCGTTCAGGTCTAGAAATAAGGAGAGAGAGTTAGGAATTGGACCGACAAAAGATACGAGATGGTTGCACAAACTACCTAGGTAAGATTGGGCATACGTACGGCAGGGATGACGTAGGTGGGTGCGGCTGGAATGGCGGATCGGCAGGGTCTGGTACCTGGAAGTGGGGCGCAGGTGCTTTACCGGATTGGGCGAGGATGATGATTCTGGGTTGGAAATGGTTAATGGGGGTGATATTGGTTTGGTGGTAGTCGTCTGAAGATGGTTGAGTTCGAGATGGAGGGGGTGGGGACTTACGGTGGTGCAGCTGGCGGTTCTGGGTCGTTTCCACCATCCTTCATCTCTCCAGAAGTTGAGTATGGTTCTCGGTGTGACATTTGACTTGAGTACTGAGACTGCTGAATGAAGTGCCAGGCAACTCTGTATACTTCGAGTAGAAGCTTGTGTGCCTCTATGACAGAGACTGTGTGTATAACGGCGATGGAAGACTGCTCGATGTTGTTGATAGAACTAGATCGGGCTTGAACGGAAGTCATAGCAAGAGCCGGCGAGAAGAAGATATCCATGATGTTCATTGAGTTGATGGCCCTAACCGTGCCCCATCCCGACTCTTATATATGATATGAGGCCTCTCATCTCAGCACGAGCATGAGCGCATTTCCAGCGATCTCCCACCGACTCACAGCCGGAGTCATGGCTGTCGCAGCACTCTACTCTTTCGATCTCGCCCCATCACCCATCTAGTGCTCATCTAACGAGTAGGAATGGTCGTTTCCACGTTGAAGAACGCGCTAGAGCAACGTTGAAAGCTCGGCCAGAACGTGTAGGGTCGGATATAGGGCTAAGTTTGGTAGCCGTGACCCGCTTGACAGCCTGTATAGGTAGTATCATTGGATCGACCCGGTTTTAGTCAGAGGGAAGCCTGAGGAGGCTCAAGTTAAGCTTTCTGGCATGTGTCTCAGAGGTGACCCGTTTCGGTGTCTAAGTGCGAGGCAGTTCGGTCAACCGAGTCGGCGACTCGGAAGACTGAATTAGGTGCATCAGGCGAGCCATTGCCTTTAGTCGGGTATAGATTCATTCTTCACCTTCAACCAAGCGGATCGCGTCGCGGGCGATGCTGTAGTGATGTGGCTGTGCGTGGGATATGGGCATCGTGTAATTTAGCTAGGGCGGTTAGAACTTCCGTTCGTGGGAGGCCTGGTAGGCCGAGCAGGAGGCTTACTCTGGATCGCCACCATGGCGGTGTTGTGCATGATAAGGCCCTCAATCATCTGTGTTATCGAGAGAGAGAGAAAGAGGAAATTGCGACATTAGTGACGGGATTGGGGACGTGGAGATGTTTGGCCGTTCGCGCATGGCGCATGGTGCCCCGCTTCAGCCCTGGAGGTCCACAACACCGGGCTGGTTCCTGGCCGTGGCCGCCACGGCCGCCCACCCAATTCCCGCCGCTACTCTGCAAACCCACCAACAACTGCATCATCATCCTCATTCTCAGCACACTCGTGACTCTAGCTCTCTCATCATCTCTCCTGACTAATCGACCTTTTGCCGCGACGTTCAATGCCGCGCCCTTCCTATTGCTCACACGTCTCTGCCACGGCGGGTTCCGACATCCATCTCTCTGGGAACACCAACGCCCAGATCGACCACAGTGCCAGGGATCATGGGCTTATCTCAGCCATAAATAGAGAGCTTCGCGAAACTCCAGGATTGGTCTCAGGACCAGACTTGTGACTCGTATCACAATCATGTCTGCCTCGCCCTAAGGTGAACGGTCGTTGGGGGCCAATGGCAGTGCACGCGGAGCCGAGTTCCAGGACCACCACCAAGCCTCGAGCAGCCTCGTCTGTTTTACTGCTTATATAATGCACGGCGAACCGACTGTGACGTCTTGACTGGTTAGGAACCCAGCAGGTAAATTATTCCAAAAGATTCCAGACCATTGACATGAGTGCCGATCGATCCCAGCTCCGACCGGTCAGGTCTCTCGTCTTACAGATTAGCACACCGTTTCTACCGCGCATGCATTTCCTGTCACGGGAGCGTCACACCCTTCGCGCTTATATATCAGCTCTGACAGCTTGAGCGCAGTATGTCAGTTCAACGGGAGTAGATAAACGTCCGTACGAGCATGCGCAACAGCATGCGATAACATTACCAATACCAAAGCAAATATGACTCCAAACTCCATGGAAGGTCGAAATTCCAAACACTAGTCCATTCTCAGTAGTCCATCAGGCCAAGAAGCTGACAGAAGCACCATCAAAGCGATGTAGACGCGCTACGTCCGATGATCCAGTCTTGTTTCTCGAAACTATCCCGAAAGAAACGCCCTCACATCTCAACGCCAAAAGCTAATCAGCCCGCCACTTCTCAATCACCACACCCATTCCCCTCAAACCAGTACCCTAGAAACAAAGCGGGACCCCAGAATTACAAGTGCACCCAGCCGGACAATTAAACCCGGGCACCGTAGTTTCCGGCTGTGGCGGCTGCGTCGGCCTCGGCGGGTTCGTCGGCGGCTCAGGAGCCGACTCATCAGGTCTATAATTCTTCTTGAGCGCCCCGACAATCAGATCGCCCATCTCTTTATGCCCATCCTTCGTGGGATGCAACGTCCTCGCTATACGCCCATCCTTACTCCCACTCCCACCATCCAGAGGCTGCGGCTCAACTTTCCATTCCATCCACAGACTTGGATTCGCAGGGTCGCGGAAGGTAAGGATGGTGTATTGATCCTGCTGCACGGCTTCGCCCTCGGGGTAGCCATGTAGTTTCTCGACGATATCCTCGGGTGGGCCAGGGACGCCGGGGTCGTCGCTAGACTCGTACGTAGTAGCTTGTTCGCCGTCGTGGATGGTGACGACGAGCCGGCCGGGGTTGTTGTAGATGTGCACTTTGGACCCGTAGTTGAACTGCGACCACCAGCTGTGGCCTGGTTCGCAGAAGCGGTGGCCTTCGAGAGCGGGGTTGATGTCGATGTATTGGATTTTCGGGTCGTTGTATTGTTCTACCGAGGAGCGGATGGCGAGGTTCACGGCGTCGACCTGAGGTGGCGATGTTAGCGGGTTTTGAAGATGGGAGAGGGATGGTGATTTCATGTGAGTAGGCCTTACTAGATCGTTGAAATCCTGTCGCATCTCTTTTTTGACTGTCTGTGTCTCGTTTTGCCTTTGGTACTGTACGCCAAAATCCCAGTCATTGCACGCGTCGTCGAGGGCGAAGAAGCGCGCATATCCTAGCATGAAGAGAGTAGCGTCGTTACCACCAACAGCAGGGTGGGCTCTCCACATGTCGATAGTATCCATAACGGCCTGCTTAAGACCTCCTCCGACTCTTCCTCGTACGAACTTGATCTCTTTCCTACACAATCCCGTCGGATCATCAGCATTGTCGTCTTCGTATTTCGTGCCATAGTCAATGCTCCTGTTCGAATGGAAGAGGCAGCTATCGGCCATGGGGTAGAAATCGGCGTTGTTCCCGCCGGCTTCGAGGAGGGTCATCTTGGGTCGTGTCAACTTGTCCATTTGATCGTGGATGTTTTGTCCCAGATGGGCGCCAGAGCAGGCTCTGAACTCGAACAGGGAACCTTGGTCTGGGTTTGGCGTCCAGTCTTTGTATCTGTCGTTGACTATGGTTGACCAGGCGTACTTGTAGCGCATGCATCCATCTTCGTTTCCGTCATATGCGGTGTCGTCGCTCCATTGAACTCCGCTCTGTCTTGTCTTAGTCAATGCGTGGCTTTGGGGTAGAATTACGTACTCCCCATGAGTCGCCGATGGCGGAAAAGATGAACTCATTGTCTCTGGTGATCAATGTGGGGTTGAGGACCGCGCCCTGGGGGTAACCCAACACCGTCTGTGCCAGTAGTACTGACCCAAGGGTGAGATAATTCTGATACGTAAACATGTTGACGAGGAACCTGTGTAGAAGAGGAGATGAGGGGAGGAGCTGGTTCGGTGTCTTCATCATCCTCTCTCTACGATCTTCTTATACCTTTTCACCTTGAGCATGTCTTCAAGGGTCTACTGTCAGCAGTGAGCATATACGAGACCGTCTGAGCAGACTTTTCGATCTCAAACCCATCTTCACGAAGCGGCACGGATGTCATCAATCGGGCGTACTTTTTGGGGTCTAAAGACGTCCGTTCACGAATGTTTCAATGCTCGGTTAGGATATTTCCATCATTGTACAAGTTGTAAGGGCCCTAACCCCTACGAATCTGTCAAACAAACCAACCCCCAGGAGGACGAGCCGCTGATCCGAGTCGACATCATGACAGAAGCCAAGATGGATGTCCGTCCGAACGTCACCCATCAATAGCCTGCGCGCAATTACGCTGCATGGGGCCATTAACGCCCGGCGCTTCGGTTGAACCATCTTGACACCTGGGGTCGAACAAAGCCTCGCTTGATGGTCAGAAACGTAAGCAACAAGGCGGAGAAGCGACAGGGCGGTAGCAGTATTGATTAGAACTACCTTGGTCATGAGGCAGACAGTCGATCCTGCGTGAGGCTGTGGAGACGCACCAAAATATCTACTGAGTAGGCCTGACCCCAATGCGAAACCTTCATGTCAGTTCTGGCGATCGGGCTGGACGCCCAGAGCTCAGCAAGGTTTATGGCGCGTTGTCGTTTGGCCTTGCGAAACATGTATAGCAGTCTGTTGGAATCACCCATGCCCGTTGATCGACAGCAATAACACATGATTGATGTATCTATAGAAGGTCATGCGCACGGGCAATGATAACAGTATAACGACCAAATACACTACTCAATCATCCGTATCCCAAATACCCAGTGTGATATCCATCATCCCCCTCAATTCAACAACCGCTTCCATCCGACTTCCCGCGCCTCTCCCTCTGACAGCCTTAACGAACCCATCACCTTCCTCTACCTCATCTAGCGCACTTCCCCCAAACTTGATCGAGCCCTTTTCCCCAGTCGCATCCATACTTCCAAACCAACTGAACGGGTACCGCAGGTACAAATCACCACGGAAGACTAAGTGCGAACTCTTCGTACTGAGAAGGGGGTCGTAAAGCTCATCCAAGAGCTCTCGGTTTGCATTATCCAGATGTAAAACCGTGTTGCCATACACTGTAGTCGTTTGGATTGTGCTTTCATCATCCGGACTCACGGCAGCAAACGGTCGTAGATAGGCGTTTACGTTGCCCCTGATACTCGCGAGAATGGTGCACGAGCCATGCGGTATCTCGGCGACTATATTGCCGTAGGCCGAGTGGATGTTCGTGTAATGTGTAAAAGGCTGCTGTGGCCAATATTCCCAGAGCGCAGCGACGTTGATGTCTCCGCTGACTGTATATACCGAGATGGATTCTGGTCGCATCGGTTTTCCAATGAACGTATACCGCGGTACCAGCATCAGATCGATCTGCCCACTTTTGCTGTGTATCTTTAGTGTACTTTCACAGCCGTACCATCCCCATATGACTCCTGTTGTTGAGCTGGAATGGATTTTGTGTGGATGCAACGGGTCCGGGCCTTTGCCGCCTTCGTATGTGTACTCGCCGTGCGAAGTATGTGTGATGAGGTTGTTGATCTGCCAGGCCCAGTCGTGAACCCATAGATCGAATGTCTCGGACCTAATCTCGAGCACATCCAATAGACGCACGGGTGATTCCGGACGGAAGTATATCATAACTTTGATCTCTGTACAAATGTCTTCGTCATTCTTGGGGGGAATATAGTCCAGGCTGAGGCTCGTTGCAGTTTGGTTGTAAACAACATTCTTGTAGTCTGCAGTAGAGCTGGAATTGATTTCGAGCCGAACTTCGATATCTGAGGTCTGGTCGACGTCGCCTCTCTGGACGTGAATTATACCAGAGAGACGACTGCCAATTGTGGAATTGGATGAGTCGGATAGACGCCAATGGGTTTCAGCTCCGTCGCTGTTCGAGATGTTGAAGCCGAATGTGCGCGCTTCAGAAGAAACGATCGATTCACATCTGGCGTAGTTGATGGTGGCCGGTTTGGTGTCGTATAAAGATTGGTCAGAAGTCGTCGTGTGGCCGGGAGGGCACGCATTCCAATACAGCAATACTATCGCGAATACGAGCAGCCCTAGTTGCGGTACTCTCCACAGTGGACGCTGTCGAATTAAGGGACCTGGTTCCTCTTCGGGAGCCTATATGCTCATTAGGATTGATAAAGCGAACATCTACGGCAACAATACTGACCACCCGTAATTCACGCCCGCTCGAACCCGCCTTCGTTGCCATCTCTTCCATGATTGCGTTCTGCTGTGGATTATTCAGAGAGAGGCAGTAAAGGAAGAAAAAGAATCAAACGAAGAGACCCGCAGACGGCAAGCACAACCAGGAAGGCAGCAGCCGCGATGCCATGCTGACTGTGAAGACGCCCGGTGCCGCGCCGCACTCGGTTTCAGATTTCTGCGACGCGCCACGACGCATACCCCGGCACGAGGCGGACTGCACGCCTCTAATCAGCACTCTGAATAGCTCATCTGTATATTTCAAAGAGGGCTCTGCGCCCGAGATGCGTATGGTGATCATGTGCGAGCGGCTTCCTTCGCGCTTCCATTCCGCCCCCACGTGCTAGCATTAGCAAGGCGAACAAATGACGTCACAACAGCACGATCTACACCCTGGTCATCACGGTCAGACTCGAATAGAAGTTCATGAATGCTTCATCTTGAAGACTTTTTCCTTAGTGAGACTCTACCTAATCGTGCTGTTCGGTCAGAAAACTGCCAGCACTCGGCTGCTCACAGGCTTGCTCAAACACACAGATGCCAACTCCGACGCCGACGCCGACGCCAGAGAAATATGCACCAAAGCTCATGAGAGTCCGCCAATCGTTTCCTCGCTCACCGTGTTGGGCTTTTTACCATTCAGGACGAGGTCGCGGCAACATGAGGTAGCCTTGACCATCGTGAGTGAGTGGGCAAGGGACAAGAGGGCAGTTGCCGTTCTTGTACTTCAATGAGCACATGAAGCGCAGGCACTCAGTGTTGTTCTCCTTGCAGGGACGACACTTGGTACCGCTGTCGCATCGCTGGTCCAAGGCGTAACACTCCGTGCATGATACGACGGTCTCAGGGAGCTTGACATTGCGCGGCGGGACGACATGGATGGCACCACGGAGACGCTCGCCGTTGTTGCTGAGGTCCATGATGCGGGCTTCCTTGAACTTGAGTTCGTCCTTGGCGTCCTTGAGCTGGGCTCGCTGGCGATCGCAAAGAGTGGTCATCTCACGAAGCTTGCCCTTGATGTCCTCGATGGCACCGCGGTTTCCACGTTGCTCTTGGGCGTCGGTCAGCTCAAACTTTCGGACGACAAGCTCTTGTCGCAGATCAGCTATGGTCTGCTCGCGTGCAGTCGCAGCGTCAGCAAGGTGTTGATTCTGCAAGAGGTAATAGTCCATCATCCGCTGGTGGTCGGCTGCGTTCTGTTGCTCCTTGGTGAGGAGATCCTTGTTCTCCTTCACAGTTGAGCGGGCGGTCTCCATCTTGCGGTCTTGAGCCTCGATGGCCTGCTTGAGCGCTGCCAACTCGGCATCCTTTGCGGCCAACTCAGCATCCTTAGCAGCCATCCTGGCGCCATGTACACCGACCCTGTCATCTAGGATGAGTTAGCTCAGGCCCTCTTGATACAGTATGGTGTTCGAACTTACTTCCGGGGTTTGCCTTGTTGATCAACGCGTTGCGAGCACCTAACTGTCGATGATTCTTCTTGATCTCAGCAACATGTCTCGCGATCACAACTTCTTTCCTTACCAGCTGAGTGTTCTGGGCCTTGATCTCAGCGTTCTGGCTCTTTAGCTTGGCGTCCAAGTCCTTGAGCTCAGCATCCCTGGCCTTGAGCTCAGCGTCCCTGGCCTTGAGCTCAGCGTCCTTGCTCTTCATCTTAGCGTCGAGGTCTTGAACTTCAGTCGCCTTCCTCTTCATCTCAAGTTCGTTCTTCTTGATCATGGCGTCCTTCTCAGACATAGCACGAGACATCGCGGCATTTTGGTTCTCGGTGGACTCGATCTGGTATCCGACAAGTCCTAGCTTCGTAGCGGCCTCCGTGTTCTCGCGCTTGAGCCTGGCCAAGTTTTCCTCAGCGACTGCCAACTGGTCCTCTAGCACGGTCCGCTGCTCCTGCTCAGTCATCCGTACCATCGTTGGTTGGTCGAATTCGAAATCATGAATGGCATACACGACGGAGTCTGCTGGAGTCGAGAGTGTATCAGATGCAGCAGGCACGGACAACTCGATGTGAGAGACGGGGACGGGTGGCGACCAGGAGCTGTGATCAGAACGATGATCAGACTCGCTGTCGGTGGTCCTGTCATAGGCGTTGATAGTATCAATCATGCTCCTGAACTCCATCCTGTTCTTAGGGATGTACTCGGGGATCGGCTGATCTGACCTAAGGGCGGAGGTCAAGGGCTCTCGCTGCTCTTGCAGGAAAGACGCCACAGACTCTGGGGCCCTGTACGGCTGAGCCAACGGGGAGAACATCTCCGAACTTGAAGAGAGACGTGTAGCAAAGCGAGGGACTAGATGTGGTCAGTCAGTCATGCAGTCATGTAAATATGGATCAGGTCACTCACCGTTGGACACGGTTGGCAGCGACACCGGGCGCGGAGCTGGTGAAGGGACTGGTGTAGAAGATTGCCTCTGTCTCATGAGAACATCGAGACCGGCGAAGTGGTTGCGTGGAGACGACCTTGCGCGGTTCTCCGAGAGAGACATGCGGCCGACGAGACCGTTGGTACGGTGAATGCCGTTGATGCCAGTGGTGTTCTGGGAGTAGGTGCCCTCGTCACTGAGGTCGATGAGGTTGCCCGACATGTTGCCAGTGGTCGGTGGTGGTGATTGGGAATGGGAAAGGATGGGAAAAGACAGAAGAGCTGTCCGTTGTGGTGGAGGATTTTGTT